GTCAAACGCTCAGAGTTGGTGGTGCCAGTCGTCACTTTCGTGCAAGTGTGTCACTTCCCAGCAATTGAAAATGGGCAAAAGATCCACAGAGGCAGGACATGGGCATAAAAACTGCAAACATAAAAAAGTAAAATCTAAAAAAAAACTTTGTGGGGGGGTCAATCATCTGCCCCACAAGAAACCATGCCCTGGCTGTGCCTAGAGATTCTGTCCATAAAAACTGAACAGAACCGCAATGAGAACCAAGGTCCTGCTGTGGGCTTACAGGGACCGGACCCCTTAGTCTCAGAGCACCCCCCACAGAACACCATGAGTGTCGTGGTCGAACGTCTCCAAATCCACAAAGCACATGTGGACCGTTTGGGCGAACTCCCATGACCACTTGAGGACCCTGCAGAGGGTATAGAGCTGGTCCAGTGTTCGACCACCAGGTCGGACCCTGCATTTTTTCTCCTGCATCCGAGGTTTGACTATCGGCCAAACTCTCCTCTCCAGTAGCTTTGAATAGACTTTCCCGGAGAGGCTGAGAAGTGTGAGCCCCCTGTAGTTGGAATGTAGCCTCTGTCTGCCAATCCAGAGGTACTGTCTCTGACTGCCACGCAATGCTGCAGAGACGTGGTACCCAGGACAGTCCCACAGCATCCAGTCACTTGAGGTACTCAGGGCAGATCTCATCCACCCTCAATGCCTTGCCACCGTGGAGCTTACCAACCACCTTGACGACTTTGCTTGGGTTATAGACAAGTCCACCTCAAGGACCTCAGCCTCCTCAACGGAGGACGTGACAGTGGGATTCTGGATATCCTCAAAGTATTTGTTCCACTGCCTGACCATATCCCCAGTCGAGGTCAACAGCTCCCCAACTCCACTGTAGACAGTGTTTTTGCATGGCTCAAGGGTGGGGCCCCAGTGATGCCAATCCAGGTGACATTAATGGAAAATGTTGTTTTATGCTTCATAAGGGGCTTCTGCACCGCTCTTAGTCTGGCTCGTCACCTATGACCTGTTTGCCATGGGAGACCCTACGACAACATAGCTCCCTGGATCACTCGAGTACTCTAACCCCTCCACCACGTCAAGGTGGGTGGTTCAAGGATTTATGGAAAGTGAAGAATTATTTAAACAAAATTAGGTATTTGCATACATTTGGGCATGTTGATTTAGTATTAGAACTCAAATTTTGTTTGGTAATCTCAGGGAACATTGACCTCCATACATAGGTGGATCCAAACATTAGAAAGTATGCAAAGGAGGCCAATTCATGTTCTCTAGACAGTGGCAACATGGGAGTCTCCAAAACAACTCCTATATTACCTGAAAACAATGATTGTGGAACATCGTGATTTAGGCAAAGGTTACAGAAAGCTCTCAGAGATTTCAGCTCTCAGTTTCAAATGTGAATAATTGGAAGACCTTTGACAGTTCTAGTTGAGACACTATGTGGCAGATCAAGAAAAATCTTTGTTCCATCAGGCTGTGTGGCCAGTTCAGGGACTGGGAATTTTGTTAAAGTTGAGGTCACATGAATTCCACTCAATGTCAGCAGACTCTGCAGAACAATGTCTAGGAATCAGTGACCAACTTGAAGTTGTGCCAATGATCCTAAGCACAGTTCAAAATCATGCAGAAGAACAACATTCTGGAATGACCCTCTCAATCCCCAGATCTGAATATTGTTGAACATTTGCGCTGTGCGGGCTGTCCATACTCGGAAACTGAACTGGAGATGTTTTGTAAAGAAGAATGATCCAAAATACCTTCTGCCTGTGTCCAGACTCTAATTAAAGGAGGATGTACAAAATATTGTGTTTTCTCAATTTTTCTTTTGTGGTGCCTATATTTATCCACATGCCTAATCTAGTTTAGATAATTCTTACACACATTTATAAATCATATTAATTTTATTTCACTTCTCAAAATATCACTTTTTTGTCCTGTATGATATTTTTTAACTGAATTTTCTTATCCAGACAACCAATCATTTATAAAGGAAAATCTACAGGGGTGCCCAAACGTTTGCACACCACTGTAGCAGGCTTGAGTGTAAAAAAAAATGTCACAGGCACAACACAAAAAGTGTAGTGGCATACACAAGTATCAATGCCCGGTTTCAATTTATAACAGGATTTTCAGGGTTATTAAAGTCTAAAGTATTAGCTTCAGATGATAATAGCTCAAGATTATTAATTTTAATTCTGTATAAACGTTCTTTCAACACCAGGACGCTTAATGGAAGGATTTAATGTCTAATGCTTTGCTTTTATTTTTAAACAAAATTAATGAATTAATCAATTAATGAATCTGGTGATTTGGTCCAAATTCTAACTTGCCAGTCATAAAATGACTGTATGGTTTCTACTTTTATTTTACGGTTATTTCTTCAAATTCAAGCAATCCGTTTGCTTCTCCTTCCTTTGCATTTAGTCAGTCTTTAGAATGATGATGTACTTTTTGAAACTCTAGACCATTTTCAAGCTTTTTGCCACCTAATATGTGACTTGAGGTTCCATGACAGCAGATACAATGAGGGAAATAAGTATTTGAACACCCTGCTATTTTGCAAGTTCTCCCTCCTAGAAATCATGTAGGCGTCTGAAATTTTCTGCGTAGGTGTACGTCCACTGTGAGAGACTTGATCTAAAAAGAAAAATCCAGAAATCACGATGTATTATTTTTTTTAACTATTTCTTTGTATGATACAGCGGGAAATAAATATTTGAACCCCTAAGAAAATCAATGTTAATACTTGGTGCAGTAGTCTTTGTGATTACAGAGGTCAAACACTTCCTGTAGTTTTTCACCAGGTTTTTACACACTGCACGAGGGATTTTGGCCCACTCCTTTCGCTCACTCATTGAGGTTTCTGGGCTGTCGCTGAGACACACAGAGTTTGAGCTCCCTCCAAAGGTTTTCAATTGGGTTTAGGTCTGGAGACTGGCTAGGCCAAGCCAGAACCTTGATATACTTCTTACAAAGCCACTCCTTTGTTCTCCTGGCTGTGTGCTTCGGGTCATTGTCATGTTGGAAGACCCAGCCTCGACCAGTGCTTCATCTTCAGTGCTCTAACTGAGGGAAGGAGGTTGTTCCCCAAAATCTCGCAATACATGGTCCCGGCCATCCTCTCCTTGATACCGTGCAGTCGCCCTGTAACATGTGCAGAGAAACATCCCCAAAGCACCCCAAAACCTCCCCCATGCATCACAGTAGGGATGGTGTTCTTGCTCATTCTTCTTCCTCCAAACACGCTTAGTGGAATTATGACAAAAGAATTCTATTTTGGTCTCATCTGACCATGTGACTTTCTCCCTTGACTCCTCTGGATCATCCATGTGGTCATTATCAAACTTAAGACTGACCTGGACATGTGCTGCTTTAAGCAGGGGAACCTTCTGTGCCATGTATGATTTCAAACAATGTCGTCTTAGTGCATTACCAACAGTAACCTTGACAACGGTGGTCTCAGCTCTTTTCAGGGCATTGAAAATGTCCTCCCGAGTAGTTCTGGGCTGAATCCTCAACTTTCTTATCATTGAGACCCCACGAGGTGAGATCTTGTGTGGACCCCCAGTCCGAGAGAGACTGACAGTCATGTTTAGCTTCTTCCATTTTCTAATGACCGCTCCAACAGTGGACCTTTTTTCACCAAGCTGCTTGGCAATTTCCCTATAGCCCTTTCCGTCCTTGTGGAGGTGAACAATTTTGTCTCTGATGTCTTTGGTCAGCTAGCTTACGGAGTTGGAGTAGTTGGAGGCTTACGGATTGTCCGGGGTGGACGAGTGTCTTCAAAAATCTCATACAGGTGAATCTAATTTAGGATAATAAATGGAGGGGAGGTGGATTTTTTTAAAGGTGGACTAACAGGTCTTCGAGGGTCACAATTCTAGCTGATAGACAGGTGTTCAAATACTTATTTCTCGCTGTATCATTCAAATAAATAATTTTTAAAAATCATACATCGTGATTTCTGGATTTTTCTTTTTAGATCATGTCTCTCACAGTGGACGTGCACCTACGCGGAAAATTTCAGACCCCTTTGTGATTTCTAAGTGGGAGAACTTGCAAAATAGCAGGGTGTTCAAATACTTATTTCCCTCACTGTAAACCGATCATTCCCCATGTTGTGATCCAGACAGTGAAACCGATAGAGGACCTGAATGAACAAGTGGAAATGGCAGCAATTACAAAGCAATTCACAAATGCCTTAAATGCAGTCGAAGAATGGTGGGGTTCTATGGTCTCATCGGGGTGTTTTTGTGAATATCTGAGGGGTTTTAAACCAGTTGCAGCTTATTAAAACATATGCAAGAACAGGGAAGTGAATTAGTCAATACTTCCACCGAATGTAGTTTTTTTTTTTATTCAAATCCTTGATCTTAGCTCCTAATTTGAGCATTAGAGGCTGAGGTATATAGACTTATTTTATATTTGGTCTTGCTGATGACCCCTAGGCTTGTTTCAAAGCGTGTGAGTGGTACGCAGAGGTCAGGCAGCTGTATGCCCCTGCGGCGCTTGCAGAAGGTGACCTGGGTGTCTCTCTGGAGGTGAAGTTGACCCAGGCTGTCAGAACTGCCAGCTCACAGCTCAGGTGATGCACTCACCCCTCCTCACTTCCCCAGGCTTGCTTCACCTATAATTTATTCTGATTACTGCTGTTTCCCACCCCAGGGTTGATTTGGCCAACCTTGAAAACAGGTTATTTTGTGTGTCGTATGAGGGAAGTGGAGCATAGTGGGTTGTGTACCGTAAGGTCATCGGGGGCCAGTATCGACATGTATCGTTGGGGATGCTGTTTGAATAATAGCTTACAGAACAATTCTATATTTCACTCTCCAAAACTCTCCACCAGAAGCCAGCATCTGCCTTGTTCTGCGGCTGATTTCCTTCTATCCTTTTGTTTGCTCTTTTGTCGTTTGTATTTCTCGGTTGCACATGTAAATAAATCCACTTGGTTTGAAACACAGGATTATCTTAAATTGTTACTTTTACAACGTATTATTTGTGGGCTCTTCCAGGATTTGAACCTGGGACCTCTCACACCCGAAGGGAGAATCAAGCCCCAATGACCCATCTTAGCCTCTCCTGAATTGGCTAAACCTTTAAACTAGAGATTGATGCTAGCTGATGCTGGTTCTGGCGCCAGTATTTCTTCAGGAGGATGCGATTGGCATTGAACACCTTGCCATCTTTTTTTAAAGAAATTGAATTCCTACCAATTATAGTAACATTGAAAAAGATGCTCTCTGCTTCTTCTGCAACATTTTGAAGTATATGTTGGTTCTGATCCATACCCTGTTGATGTTTTTTCACAACTTTCTTGTTTTCCTGAAAAAGTTCTGAAGCAAAAAGCAGAGACTTACGAGATGGGCTCTTTTCTGTCAATTCATTCAAAAAGGGAAAAAAACAATGTAATAATGTTCTCTACAAATTATTAAACATGGACATGTATAAACTGGTTGTGTGGGTGTCGTATTGTGTGTGTTTAGTTCTATGTATTGTATTGTTGTGTTTTGCTGAGTAGAGATACAAAATGCTATATTATAAAAGAAAGCACTTAAAATAAGGAACATTAGATATTTGCAATAAAGTATTTAGAAGCACAGAAAGATAAAATTTAAGTATAATTTAACCCACTTTTCTTGGTGAATAAAACATTTTGCATTGCGGATAAGAAAAATAAAAAAGTACAGTGGTTCCCCGAGATATGAATGCTTCAATACGAAAGGTCTCGGTACTGTCTGCGCTTGTGCTTGAAACCCTGTTGGTGTCAGTAATTCGTAAAATATCTCGAGAAAGTTCACTTTCACACGTAGAGCTGTAATGTTTTCTGCATCCGTTCCACCTCCTCCGACACATCGCTTCACTCAAGGTAAGGTTTCACATTCATTTACTACATTAACAATGTGTAGATTTAAGGATTGAAGAAACGTTACTTGATTTTTCTCTGGTTTTTCCATTTTTTTTCATCTACTTATACTGTTGTTTCTGAGAGCCGTTGCACGGATTAGACGTTTTACATGTAAAACTTGCTTCGAGATACGAAATGTTCGACATACAAACATCACCCTGGAATGGATTAGTTTTGTATCTTGGGGTACCACTGCATATGCAACAGAGATGTTTGTGGATTTCAAACAATTATGTCCTTAAGAGAGAAAGTATGGGACACTTTTGTAAATTTAGAAATCGACCAGATCCAGAAATAGTGTCAGATCATTTTCTGATGACATCACTTCATGTTTCATCTCTTCTTCTGCTTGGGACAAATTGTCCCTGTCCCATTGGCTCTGTGCTCCTGTTGACTGTCCCACCTCCTCCTCCGTTACTATAAGAACTCTGTTGCTTCTCTCTGTTTTTTATGCCCTTGCTGCCTGTGCTTTGCTCTGGTTGTTATTTGTGTGTCATTGGTATTTCACTTTGCTTTTTCTCGACTTTGATCTTCATCTAGCCCTTTTGCATTTGGCGCTGTTTGTATTTCTCAGTTGCATTTTTAAATAAATTCACTTGGTTGGAAACAGGTCCAATTTGTTCCGTATAACCCCTGGACGGAAGAACACAATCCCAAAAGCAAAAACTCTTTCAACTTTTAAAAGACAAATCAAAACTTTGGCTCAGTGGCCTTCCAGTTAGAAGGTTGTCAGTTCGAGGCTCGCCGGTGACATTACTGGAAGGAGTTTGCATGTTCTCCCTGTGCTTGCGTGGGTTCCCTCAGGGTACTCCGGTTTCCCTCACTATCCTAAAAACATGCGATCCTCTAGCCCGATGTGAGCTGGAGATCCCCGTGACCCAGAAAGGGAAAGTTCCCCAATAGTCCTAGCCATATGTTCTTTTGTGAGAAATGCTTTGTTTTTTTCTCAACTCTAAGATGTTTTGGATAAAATGTCTGCTAAATGCATACTCGTAAATTTAAATCGGAAAGAACAAGCTGTAGAAAGTCTGACATCTTAACAAAACAGAATTCCTAATTTAGACGTGTGTCACTATTAAAATATATTGCAGATCTTAAAAGATTCAAAGATGATTCCTGTTAAAGCAGTGTTTGATCATTTAAAAGTTAAAATGTTGAAACTAAAAATGTGAACGTTGGGGTCTTGAGTTTGTTCTGCTTTGCAAAAAATTGTTTTTATAGTAACCACTAGATGGCAGCAAGATCATTTCCCAGTACTTATGTTAGTCAAAGCTCTGATTTCTTAGACTTAAACTGCCTATAAATGTTTTAACAAAATTGCTTTTATATCGATACTATTAGATGTAGTAGCAGAATAGGAAAAGGTGTTGTTATAGGAACATGCTTGTGAATATGTAATTTTTAATAAAGCCCCATCAGATTTAACTAATGGAAATTGTCTTTACTGAAAAAGACAGATTAACTGTACATTCTGTGTCCCAGAACACAGGGCCTCTCTGCTGCGGTCAGCACCCCTGTCGCCCCCTGGTTCAAATAATTTGTAGGTGTCCAATCTTGATGCAAGACATTTCCAAGTGGTGCCACACTTTGTTTTAATTCTATTAAAGTTTTCACATTCATGAGCTTGAAACGGTCTCATCACTTGTTGCAGAAAATGGGAATAAATTCATTCATTCATTAATTTTCATGGGGGTCTACATCCAGCACACATTGGGCAAAAGGTGGTACACTCTGGACAGGCCGCCAGTCCATCACAGGGCAACATTCACACCTAAGGGGAATTTAGATTCTTTAATTAACTTAACCACATGTTTTTGGGATTGTGGGGAAAACCAGAGTACCCAGAGGAAACCCACGCAAGCACGGAAAGAACATGCAAACTCCTTCCAGGAATTTCACCAGCAAGCCTCGAACCAGCAACCTTCTAGCTGGAAGGCCACAGTGCTACCCACTGCGCCACCGTGCAGCAGAATACATCATTTTATTCATCTTTTCATTATTGTAAGGGTTTTAAGTGATTGGTTGTACCAAGTCCAAAACGTGGCGATCGCCCCCATGGGGCTGGTTGCAGAATGATTTCCGCCCCAATACAAATTGGAAAAGGCTGAACTTTAAAAATGATTTCTTCAGAAATTACGTTATTTAAATTAACGGTTTTAATGATTTCGAGAGGTAACTATATATTTTTTTTCATGTGGTTCATGATGGCTCAATTTTCCCCTAAAGAACTAGGTGGGACCATGCTATTGACAGCTATGATTGGACAGCTACGCAGAACTGACCTGACTGCTGTCAACACATCATGAGAAAAATCATTTACTCGGCCAGTGATCAAATTCAGTAATTCTCAAATTCTTGCTTAGAATTACAAGATAAGTTGTAAATAACAGAATCGGGGCGTAGCTCTGAAACAATGACCATCCTATCCTTATCGGGAGGTATTGTGTGCGTATTTGCACCTGTCATCGGCAGCTTCCAGGAGAGCTCTGCTATGGCTTCAATTAGCCCAATAACAGTAGGCAGTGTCCCATCATCCATTTTTCTTTACAGTCTAGGGGTCTGGCATCACACTACTTTTACATCAGAGACCCATCACCATCAGTGCTGGTCAGGTAAGGAATGCAGTGTCCATAGCAGCTAGTACTTTTGAGGGATCTGTGCGAATGAAGAGGAACAGATTTAATTACAGTGGTACCCCGAGATACGAAATTAAGTTCCAGGTTGGCGTTCGTATCTCGAACATCCCGTATCTCGAAGAAAGTTTTACGCCTAATCCGTGCAACAGCTCTCAGAAACAACAGCAAGGTAAAAAAAAAAAAAAGAAACAACAGCATAAGTTGATAAAAAAATGGAAAACCAGAGAAAAATCAAGTAACGTTTCTTCAATCCTTAAATCTACACATTGTTTATGTATTAAATGATAATAAAACAGAATTAAATACAAGCAAAATACATAATATGCAACCTTAGCTTGCGAATGAACCTATGTGTTGGAGGAGGTGGAATGGATGGCATAAAACATTACGGCACTACGTATGAAAGATAACTTTCTCAAGATATTTCATGATTTACTGACACCAACACGGTTTCAAGCACAAGCGCAGACAGATGGAGTGACGCTTCTGAGAAAGGATTCTCTAACTTGCGCTACAGAACAGCACTTTCCACGTTATAAACGTTATTTCTTTTATGACACCTTGACTCTAACATTTGTTATAGCACATTATTGGTAAAAGTGCTATATAAAGTGTTTTGAAGTGTATCAGACCCTTTTTGCACTGGGAGATAGGAGCGCCAGGACCCGGAAGCACAGTATGATGTCAGATTAAACAAGTGGATAATAGAATAATAGAGCAGAACTGCTTGTGGTTGTTTGTATCTCAAATTTTTCTTCGCATCTTATAGCAAAAACTTTCCCGTGAGACCTTTCGTATCTCGAAGCATTCGTATCTCGGGGTACCACTGTATTCCTAAAGTATTCAAGTTCAGGACGAATGGCCATGCATGCCCGTCAAACATGAAAGTGTTAACTAATCTTTTGCCCATTTGGTATACTTTGCTGGTTTGTATGTTTTACATAGGTGGAACGTTATAATACCAGGGTTTTGTTCTGAACGATATATTAGAGTTTTACAAAAGGTTCAGACACAGTTAAAGGCTCTCAAAATGTGAATGAGCATTATTAACATTCGTAGGACTGCCCTTGACTAAAGATTTTCCTTGTCGACTATGAGTCGATCAATAAAGCCAATATTCGACTAATGGTTGACGTATGCTTATTATATTGATTTAATTACTTAAATAGGCGAGAAATTGTTTGAGTTTAAGGGCTGAGAAAAAATGTAAATTGTAACATCATAATAAACGGTAACTAAATACAAACATAAACGTTTTTAAAAATACTGTAAAATAATCCTTTTCATAATGAATACAAGGTTAGACACGTGACATACACATATTTCACAGTCCCTCTGACTGTGACTCTTTGTCCTTCATCTTATTCTACTGAAGGCTGTAGAGCAGGCGTCTGGCAACTAGGGCTCCTGAAACCAGGAACAACTGTCTGAAGACGGCGCAGATGAGTGCTTGTGTTTCATATGTTTGTATAATAACATCTGATAAAACATTGCTGGCACACTGAGACATTTTGTTTACCATTAT